ATTCATCCCATAGACCTTTAAGCCTTGAATTGTATGCCGAAACAGGCATGTCACCTTGATTGAGGGATGCTATTTCCCTTTCAATCTGGAAAATTCTTAGTACATGTACTGGAAAAATCTTTCCTTCAAATCGCACCGGACTTGTGATGCACTTTCTATGTAGATCACGATGTCTCCTAAATTTGGATCTATCAAGTTTAGGATCCATAAAGGCACCATGTCATTGTACCTTTGCCAAGAAGTGAAGTTTTTATCTACCTTTGAAGGTTTCTCAATTGTCCTGTCATGTCAATGAAGCCTACATTGTTCTTTGCATTGAGTGCAACGGTCATCGATTTTGCACAAAGTTGAATAATTATCCCCCTTCAAGGGCGTTGTAACTAAAATTGCTCCAAGGTGATCTGAAGCATGGAGAAAAAATGGGTCTGAGGCATCGACTGTAACTTTCTGTGCTGCAGGAACATTAGGTATTTCACCTTATTTTGACATGATTGTTTAAGCCGTATTAATTAGTGCAATATTGATGAATTTAGAGGAAAATTCAGTAACTTTGCTATGATACCATGAAAAATTATGAATAACAGAAAAAATAATGTTTGTCGAAGAAGAATCTCTTATTCGATGATTTGATTACACAGAATCGCTCTATTCGGTGACTTAAAGTTATTATTTGAGTATGAGAAAAATATTACGTGTTCCAAATAATAAGATTTTAATGAGCATCATTAATGAAACTATTCTAAGAAACTTTTAATTAATTAGTTATGTTTAATGGATACTAACTTACAAGTACACGTTTCTCAGATAAATGTTAGCGATAAATTTACTATTGCTGTTTTTCTTAATTTCCAGCAATGTTTTAAAAATTGATTCAAGTATCGACCCAAAAAAGATAAAGGGTCAAAAGGTTTTACCGGGGGTCGAACCGAATGTAACAAATAAATATGCCTACAAATGATAAAATACTATAAGAATATAACATACAGTTAAATTAAATTAAATTTTCGTTAATTAAATTTATTAACATACAGTTAGTCTAGACACTTCAAAATTAACCATTAATATATTGAAGTAATTTGCTTTGTTAAAATTGAAATATTTTGAGTTTAGAGAATAGGATTTAAATTTAAACTTTTAATAAATAAAAAGATGGAATTGAATATTATAATTTACTTTATTGGTAATCAAAATCAAATTAAAAAAAATCAACAAGCAAATATTTGGAAAATAGCTTCTGCTTGGCAATTGAAAATATACAAGTATCCCACATCGAAAGTTGTTTATTATTTTTATTTTTTGTGTAATTTGAATGGAGTACATCTATAAAAGCAAACTAGCAAGCAATCCAAGATTAATTAATGGGCTTTGCACCAAATTCGTTCTCTTACGTACAACAACTTTCGAATCTTGGAAACACAGTAGAAAGTCATAAGGGGTATGATGGTTTTAGACTCTCCCAAAGTAGACGGTACAAAAGAGAACGGCTTGAGCACAGAGGTTCGAATTGATACAAAGGACATGTCTAGGTCTTTTGCCGTTTAACTCGTTAACTCATTGAGGTATTTTGTTATATTTGAAGATCTCAATGGGTAAGTTGAGATCCTTTCTAGGCCTCTTTCTGTTAACCCAAATGAGGATATTTATATAAAGTTTCAGCAAGAAAATAAATTAAGAATCCATAGTGAACTTATCTTTTCCTACCTTGTGCTAGCCACATCATTTTTTATGAGATTGAAAGAGTATTTCAATAAACAAAAACTGCAAGGGAGATAACGTAAGAACCCATCATAGACTTACTCCTTTAATTTGTATGGATAAACCATCTAGAGATTGAAAAAGTATCCCAATAAACAAAAATCACAAGGGAGATAAACTAATAACCCTTCGTGGACTTGCTACTTTAACTAATACGGAGAAAAACTATTGAAAGAAAAGAACATCCCCATTAACGTAAGCCGTGGATTGAAAAATTATACGAGATTAAAATTCTTGGGACTAAAAATTCCTTATATATGGCATCGGATGGACCGAGCATCCGACGTTTGATTTCTTGCCAAAATATCGGAGATTAGTTTCTCTTGTGAGAAAAAGGCTACCACCATTTAGGTACTGGATTTCTTCAATTGTATAACGCCATAAAATTCTTGTGAGGTTGGAATACGATTTATCTGCCTTGGTTTTTTATGGAACCAATGCATCGATATCAGCAAAACATTTATTTTTCTTCGACATTCACACATTGTAATCCAAAATAGACAAAGCCAAAGCCACGAGGCAATCCAAAATTTCAGCATTAGTAGCAACAAATACACTAAACTTCTTTGTTAAACATGAATATAAAGCTCATACTTGGAGAACTAATGTTATGTGTTGAGCTAATTATTACCCACGAGGGCTTCACATCAGCTAAAAAGGACTTACTTGCCTAAGACTCTACGTTAACTCCAACATGGCCCTATCGCATACGAGCGTTTCCACTAGCATTTGCTCTAAGGCCCACCTAAAGAAAAAAATGCCTCGACGTTGAAGTACTATCTAGAAAAACGCGCCTAATCCTAACACTTGGAATTATAGGACAATTCGAAGCCTCGCCCAAATGGTGAAAAATGAAGGCCTTGGCTTGACCNACGCGCCTAATCCTAACACTTGGAATTATAGGACAATTCGAAGCCTCGCCCAAATGGTGAAAAATGAAGGCCTTGGCTTGACCCCTAATATAGCAACCATTTTAGTGTGTTCTGACACAATTAAATCAGCATGATCATCCATGCAAACCCATGCTTGTACGTAACAAATTTCATGACAAGTATCACGAAAGACAAAAAAAAAAATCATCTTAAACATTGGAACTTGAACTTTATGATGGCTTACAACATAATGATGAGTGTTTTCACCCACAAAATTGACAAAAAAAAAAAAATCCTTAACTCGTCTATTAAAAGGATAATTAACAAAACAAAGAAAAGGATTGAAAATCAAAGGTTAAAAGCTGAAGGAAAATAAATAATAGAGATTCAATCTTCCACTTTAAAAATTCACCCTAAAAAAAGGCAAAATTAGGGCTATACAGGAAAATTTTAGTAATCTCTAATCTAAGTGGCCTTTCCTACAAAAAATTCGCCAAAAACTTCTTTCTTCCTTCAAATGAAAATCTCACCCAGGAAGACGCCCCAAATCCCCAAAAGGGGGCCAAAATCATGCCAAATTTCCTGCAAGAAAATTTCAGCCCTGGCATTGAAAATAATTTTATTATTATTATTATTATTATTATTATTATTTATTTATTTATCTATATATTTTTTTTAAGATCAAAAGCTACAGGTATCAAAATTGCTTCAGCGTGTCAAACATCAAATTTTCAAGAAAAGATGGTCAATTAATATCTTGACCAAATTAACCTCGGGTAAGTCACATAAGTGGTCTTCTTGTGACCATTTTGATGCAGCAAATGGATGGAACGGGACGAATGTGGTGATTTACATAAAGAATGATCGATCTAAGGATCCAAATGTCAAAACGATAGATATTATTTACTCAGTGAAGGCAAAATGATAGGAAGTTTAGTGCTAAATTATGCCACCATAATTGCTGCGTTATTAAAATGTACAGCCCCTTTTGGTTTTATTATTTTTTACCAAATTTTGACAAAAATGGGTGAAATATGTTGTTGGAAAGTGGATAAAATGATCAAATATGTGGTCGAAAATGATTTTGGAAAGAAATGAATTTTAAGAAATGGAGATCAAACAATGGCAGAATATTAGAGTAGGTTAAAATGTATTACTCTCATATCGTATTATAGCATATTGTTCTAGGTGATCGTATTTAACCTTAAATATAGAAAACATAAAATTTTCCTCATATTTATATATACTTTTGTTTATTTATATAAATGTTATAATCAATAAATAAATATCAAACTATTTCATGTCGTTATGTATAAATATCAATAATCTAATTCTTCTTACATATAATCACTAAATAAAAGTCTTCCGTAGCCATCACATAACTTGGATAAAGAAATTTTGTGTTTAAGTAAAGGGGTATATTAAATTGGGACTTTTAATTAGGATTTAAAAAGTTCAAGGATCAATGTGTACTTTTTGAAACCTTCTAAAAATATTACTATATTCAATCAAAACTTTGATAAACTTCTAAAAAATCTTTAAAAGTCAGGTTATATTTAATTAAAACTTTTTAGATTTCTCTATAAATCTTTGAGTATTCAAATTAATAATAACTTTTAAATACTTTTATGAAATGAAAATCTTTTAAATTCTATAAAAATCTATAAAAATTTTAAAACAAAAGTCTATAGAAGTATATGATAGACTTTCATTAATTTCATACAAATTTATAAAAAATTCCGAAATTTGTAGAAATCATCAATTTAAAAAGTCCATAAATTTTGTCCGAGTTACCCCTTAATTTATATCTTTCATTTATTTTAATCCGTTTTAAACTTGAAAACTAAAAAGCTATTTAAATTAATTTAAGATTAGTTTCATCCAGTCATATTCATACCACAACCACCATAAAGATTTCGAATTCTAACCAAACTGTGTAGTAGGGAAAATTGGTAAAGATTTTGAATGTTTATCCATATCTTTTCCAATTGGAAATTTAATTTATATATTTAAGAATTTGATTTCATTCATATCTCATTGTCCTATATAATAGCTACCTCTATAAAATTTTCCAATATTATTTTCTTGAATTGGTTCTGATTAGTCGAATTTTGGTCTTTTACCGTTTTGGTTCTGATCAATTGAATTCTCGCTCTAATGGAGGATTGTTCTCTACCTAAGGATGCTTACTTTCTCGGATTTGATAGCTCTACTCAGTAATTTTCTTCTCCTTTTAGTTTTATATCTGTTTTCGTTGTCCAGTAAGGAAATTTTGTTTGATACCATGTTTTAATTAGAATTTCAAAATTAGCATGTACTGATGTAATTCTTCTGTTATTTGATTTTATCCATGTTACTTCAGTTAAGTGTTCCATGATCTTTTCGAAATGTTATGAGTTCAGTACTGAAATTGAATCTGTAATTATATAAGAAATATTATGATTCTTTCTTCTTTAGGTCATTGAAGGCAACTGTATTAGATTCGAACCTCAACATTGTTGCTGCAGAGATTGTTAATTTTGATTCTGAGTTGTCACATTACAAGACTAAAGATGGTGTTTACCGGGACCCTTTGGTTAACGGGAGAATTGTGTCGCCCACTATAATGTGGGTCGAAGCTCTTGACCTCATACTTCAGAGGCTTCAAAAATCGAAATTGTATTTTGGAAAGATTGCTGCTGTTTCGGGAAGTGGACAACAACATGGCAGTGTGTATTGGAAGAATGGGAGTTCCAAAATATTGTCATCATGTGACCCGATGAAACCATTGGTGGAACAACTTTTTGATGCCTTTTCCACCAAGGAGTCTCCTGTATGGATGGACAGCAGCACCACGGAACAATGCAAGGCAATTGAGAAAGCTGTTGGTGGTGCATTGGAATTATCTAAGATTACTGGTTCACGTGCATATGAGAGATTTACTGGTCCACAAATTCGGAGGATCTTTGAGAAACAATTAGATGTTTATCGGAATACAGAAAGAATATCCCTTGTCAGCTCCTTCATGGCATCCCTTCTTACGGGGAGCTATGCTTGTATAGATCATACTGATGGCGCAGGGATGAATTTGATGGATATAAAAGATAGATCTTGGTCCAAAATAATATTGGAGGTTAGGCATCATTGCAAACTGCAATTAGAGCACTCTCTTGATTATTAATACTGAGCAGAAATCTTTGTCTAATTGATATATGTGATTTAATTCTAGTTTGACGATTGATAGCTCAACTTCAGTTTCAGTTTCATAGTTAATCTAATGACTGGTAGCTATCAGATTCATGATCACCCAAGGGTTTCATCATTAGCAGTACTCATGGGTAACATATATGTTGGATTTTAACGTTTGTTCTAGGCCACTGCACCTGGCTTAGAGGAAAAACTTGGCAAGTTAGCTCCTGCACATGCTGTAGCTGGTTTAATTTCACCCTATTTTGTGGACAGGTCAGTTGATATTTATAATCTCTCAGTGTATAATGCTGGACAATGATGTTTAATTCATTCAACATGTAACTTTATTTTATTAGCCTATTTGAATAGCTACTTTGTATACTAATTTATTGTCCATGAAGAGAAGGGTAATGATGAAACTTCCTGAAATTGTTGTTCAATTAACTTATTATTGCTTGCGTTTTAGGTATCCGTTTTCTTTCTTTTTTAGCTCATTGCTTCATTAGTGTTAAATTGACTCCCTCCTGAACAGCCACGGACTGCTTGATTTCTCATTAGCCTTTTTATGAGCTGCTTTCAGGTACCACTTCAACAAAGACTGCTTAATTATTCAGTGGTCTGGTGATAATCCTAACAGCCTAGCAGGTGATCTTTGTTTATTATTTATTTTCATATTACTCATCATAATTTCATTGGCAAATGCTTTCATTAAACGATCTGTTTTTGTTTGCCTCCATTTTTTTTT